CCTCAACAATTCTGTGATTCTGTGATTAGTAGGAGCATTGTAAAAGGAGTTACAAACTCACATAAACTATGACTGTTCCCACCATTCTTCAGCAAGATAATTGGATTCGTTCATCTATCTGACGCATAATTTTGCAGTTTATGGCATACAAGATTTTGAAATTTCAGCACAAATAATAATAATCAGGACTAACAAACAAACGATTTTTTTCTCAAATAAAAATTTCAGCATAGTTGCCATGTCTGAAATAAAATCCGTGGATAAGTGAAATCTAGTGGTTCCTAAAGTTAATTGATGGCTGATCAGGTAGACTTGAGAATGTCAAACAATAATCCTGAGCTGAGGTATTTTCCTTAAAGAGGGCGTGTGTCCCATTTTTAGATTTTGTTACACAAAATGAAGGTGCTACATAGAGGCTATAGGAAGCACCTTCCATGCTGAAAAGCAGTAGGTTCAGGTTGAGTGGTATTTTCTTCTGTTTTTTTCCTTTTTGCTTCCTTTTTTTAATAAAAATGCTCAAGAGAATGCATGAAAACAGCACCTGTATGAACATTCTGAAGAGGAGTATCAATCAGTTTTTTCAGAGAAAGAGGTTAACATCACAACTTCTTTCCTTCCTAGAGCTTGCAGGTCTATGCTGCTTTGAGTTGCAACTAGAACCAAACCCCAAACTACGAAAAGGACAACACTGGTATAACATACAAGGGCAAGTAAAACTACATGGTCTAGCTCTTAGTTTCGTTTTTCATTTTTAAACCGCTCAAAAAATTATTAGCTAATTGAAGTATACTTACTCTACATTCTTTGTCCAGTCTGGAAGCTTATTCCATGTCATAAAAACGCAGTTTGTCAAAATAGTGAGCATAATGAGCATGCTGAACAATGTTGACTGTAGTTAAGGAAAATAACTCTTTTCTAACACTGAATTCATATTACACAAAACACGAGGAATTGACCAGGCTATAGAATATGGAAAAAATGTGCGATACAAATCAGTTTACTATCGCTAGCAATGTCATAAATAATGCAAAGATGTTTCGTAATAATGATGGCTTATACTAGGTAAACTTAATCTAGGTACACACACTGTGCATCTCTTTCTCTGAATTTAATCAGAGAGTTAAAGTGACAAAAGAAATAATTAAAGGCAGGAACGCATTTAAACACTAAATCAAAAAAACGGGAGTTATTAAATACTAAAAATGACCAAAAGCACTTGAAAAGGATATGAATGAACCAAAATCTTAATAGCTATTCTTCTAATAATATTGAAAGGGGATAAAAGGTACAAGGCAGGTGTGGCACTGAACCTGAAGATTGTCTTCCCTTTATTCAATACTATAAATGTCTTATGAAAAAAAAAGGAGGAAAAAAAAAAGGAGGGAGATAGAAAGTTAGATACATGTTAGCAACCTTCAAATAAATAAAGGCTGCACTTACACAGATGTATGTAGCTGAACTTATTTTCCAGCAGAGTCATACAAACAAATATCAGATTCTAATTTTCATGTGCAATGAAAACTGAACAGAGAGTCTTTGTGCTCTTAAGCAAAATCTGCATTGCAGCATTTTCCAGGATTATGTAATTATATTTAAAATATAATTAAAATCTGTCATTTTCAACATTTAAAATGAATCCAGTTATATTTCTTGCACTTCAGATCAAAGTTTGCAATGCAAAACAAAACAGCTAACGAACCATTTTTTGACATTTATGAACAGCTATTTAACCATTTCAGCACTTTAAAACTACCTCTGATATGAGAGATCCTTGGTTTGCAATAGGCTTTACTGCCTTCACCTCCTGTGCAGTCAACATTAATACCACTTAGGCCACCATTTTTGATTTTGACTAGGAGACACAATGAAAATGTCATCTAATGAAATCTTAACTCAATCTACATCTCATCATTATTCTCCCAAAAGGTTAATATCTGGAAACAAGCAGGTTGTAACATTGAATCATTCTGTTTTCTAATGATATTCTACTGTAAAATAAATAGATCACTTGACAATAGCATTCATGAAGTTGAAACAATAAAAACAAAAATAACTTTACAAACTCCATCTGATTATTATTCTTCAACATTCTGTACTAGAAAAAATACTGCTTTAACTTTGTTGCTTCTTACAGAGATAATATAGCACTTTGGTTACTTACATGCAAGATACTAATTTGCTGATTATTCAGTTATTTGAAGAACCTTTTCTATGCTTTTAATTCAAGAAGCATTTTATTCATTTACAAAACAAAATAAGCAGTCGTTGATTTTGTATTCCCTTTTAACATAAACTCAATTTTGCTTTCATTGTTATTAAAATCATCATCAAAAATCATCATCCTGATGATTTTAATGATCAGGAAAAACGTGTCTGGCCAGAAAAATCAAATCCTCCACAATCAGACTCAGAACAGTTGCAGTGGTCCTGAAGCAAACTCCAGCATAACGAGCTCATACTATAAGTGACACAAGCTGTTGCCAATCCACAGAAACCACATCACATGAAACTCGCAATATGTGATAATTATTTTTTGGTTTACTTATGTCCCTCCCTAGTGAAATCGAGTTTAACATTTTACTTTTTGTAAAATAAATATTTCTATGAGATTTCAAGAATGTTTGATGACCAATCATTTTGGCAGATGACTGAATGAGCGCTTTGCCCAAAAGCTACCCTACTGAACTAGATGTCAGTCACTGTTTCCTAGAAACTCTAGGAACAGAGTAGCCAGACAAAGAGAAAGTTTTCAAATGCGTCAGCATTCAACCAGATTTGTAAAGATTAAAAGACATCTAATGCAAAATCACTTAACTCAAAACATCATCATAAGAAAATCTTAGAAATTAAAAGAAAATCTCGTTGAAAAGGAAAAAAAAGGCAACCTAAGCAGAAGAGTTGCAGTAGTACTTATAGTGTATTCAAAATAATTAACACACCGTGTAATACTTTCAACTAGAGTTTTGACCATCTCCACACCAGAGCATTTATCACTTTATAGTTCAACAGGAGCATTCTAACTGCAATCTTAATATAAAACACTTACCTTTTTATTGATATAGTACGGATCCAGGTCCTCCAGAGGCTCAGACACCATTTCTGGAGGAACATCACCATAAATAAATGGCAGTATCTTTCCTGCCTCCAAGTCACTATTTGGCTTCGGGTGATTTGCTTCATGACCACCATCATCTTTATGCTCGTCTTTGTCACAGTGAGACGCTTCATCAGCAATCCGTTTTTCAATAGCTGCTAGAGATTCTTTGGTGAAATAGAAGAAGCTGTCAGATCCTGGTGGCACCAGCATTGCCTGAGCCATCTTTTCATTCTGCAAATTTTAAACGCTTTTAGGCTCTTGTGCAAGAAGATCCTAGGAGACCAGGAGAAAAAAAGAAACAGGAAAATAGAGGGCAAGAGCGACAACAACCCCCAAGTAAAAGCTTTTGGCAGTCATCATCTGCCTCTTCTCTAACTCCAAAGCTTTTGGCAGTCATCATCTGCCTCTTCTCTAACTCCAAAGCTCTGTATCAAGAAGTATTTGAATTAATTGTCAGATATTCGACAGAAAATTAGCTACCAGTAATGACATGGCAAACAGAAACACGGTATGAAGAAAAAAAAAAAGGTGAAATTTGCATATAGTTTCTCAATTCAGATTAATACAAACTCTCAATTAAAGAAAAACATTTGCACTTTCCACAGCCTAAACATTAAGCTAAAACACACCTTATTATGAAAAAAGTGAGAAACGCGTTAACACAGCAATGTACCGCAGACAATTGTTGCAACTTATGCGTTTATACTCCAAGTTGTCACAGTACCTTAAAAAAACATGCAACTATATTACGAAAGTAGTAAGAAAAACACGCCCTTTCTATTACTCTTTTCATTTCTGATTGCAACACTACTCCATCTGGTGGCTTTTACTATGCTTGCTAAACTAATATTAATATTATACTGTTAGACAGGTAGAACACAAAGGCATTCTATACTTAAAGACATATGCTGAAGGAGAAAGCAATTGGGCTGAAGTTTAGTCTTTCCCTTTTTGGGTTTCCTGACTTGCATCTTCCTGGCTTTTAACTGCAACTTTGGCGGTGCTACATTCTGTAATTAAGGAGGTTATACTAGACGAAGGATTTCAGATTTATGCAAAAAATACAGCATACTGTCCCCACGGTCATGGTACTCCCTCTGAGGCCTGAAACGTTTTGAGAAGACCTGAAAACAACAGATTGACTAAAATTCAATGATAATAGATGACTTCTTTCTCTATTTTCTACAGTGAGAGCACAGTTAACACGCATGCGTGCGGTATCTTCAGAATAAACCAGTTTTCCGGGCCTGGCAGCCCGCTGCTCTCGCACTGCCCCTCCTCACAGGGACCTGGGGTGGGAGAGAAGGAAGTGAAAAAGCACATCCGCTGAGATAAAGAGAGCACTTATCAATTACTGCCACAGGCAAAACAGACCCAGCTTGGGGAAAAACAATTTATTGCCAATTAAAAAAGATCTGGATGGCAAGAAGCAAAGTCAAAACCTAACAGAACTTCCCCTCGCCTTTGCCTCTTTTTCCCATTTCCAACTTCACTCCTTCGTTCTCAACTCCGACACCTCCTCCCGCCCCAGGTGGCAGGGGACGGACAGGGAATGGGGACTGGGGTCACAGCCCCGCGGCTCCCCTCTGCCGCTCCTTCCCCCTCACAGATCCCCCTTTCTGGATAAGGCTGCTCCGGTGTGGGCTCTCCCCGTGCCACCAGCTGCTTCAAGAACATCCACCTGCTCCGGCGCAGTGTCCTTCATGAGCTGTAGTGTGGATTTTACCCGCCCTCCAGAGCTGCAGGGAAATACCTGCCTCACTATGGCCGGCCCTACAGGCTTACAGGGAACCTCTGCAGCCCCTCCTGTTCCTCCTTCACTCACCCTGGGGTTCACAGGGCTGTTCCTCACACTTTTTCCCTCACACTGACAGGTGGCATTCTGCCCTTTTGGGGATGTGCCTTCCCACAGGCGCCACCCCCTGTGGGATACTTCTCACAGAGGCTGCCCTGGCAGCTCCCACCACAGAAACAGGTGGTGCCACAGACACCCAGTACAGAAATATTGTGAATACCTCCCAGGGTGCTGGGACACCTATTTCTCAAGAGAAAAAACCCCAGATTTAGAGGAGTTCCTCCATTAGCTGTGCCTTTTGTCACCAAAAAGGTCACATACTGAGCCTGTTCTACACGGGAGGTGTCAGCTGGCTGAAGACGTTACTTCTTCCAACCATAGTGCGAGCTCTATAGTAACGGTGTGCTGGGAAGGACAGAAGTAGATGATATACTTCTTCATGAAGTGTAACAGCTCCAAAATCAATTAACACATGGCATCATCAATCCCAGAAATCTGTCTCTTCCATGTCACCTTTTGGGTAACTTACAGGTCAACTTAACACTAGTTGAGGAAATGATCTTTTACCAAACAATTTTCCAGCAGAAATGAAATTCTCACGGACACTCAACCTAACATCACACAAGCCATCTCTTCTCCAAAAAGAGCTGGTCAAGGGTACGCACAGACTTCAAAACCCTCCTTTTTCAGCTGAGCTACAACAGCATTCTGCAAACACTCCTTACAACAATAAAAGACACACAAAAGGGGTCTTTGTGCAGTAGTAAAATGAGACATTTCCTAATAAATAGCTTTAGAAATCAGACTACAGAAATCACAAAACACTTCAGGAAAACATGGAAATGTTTTCTCTCTGGAACAGAAAGTCTGAGAATGCCAAGTCTTCCTTTACTTATAAAAAAATGAGCAATTTCATCCATGCCATCTTGAAGTTATTCACCGCTCTCACGTGAAAGGTTCAATTGTAGCTGAGCCTTCTCCAGTGAACCCTTCTCAAATCCATAGCACCAGTGACCCTGAAGATCTGCCCAGCCACACTCGCACCAAGAACCTGCTGTATCTCAAAAGGTACTTTTCCTACAGAAGCTGGATGACATCTGTGGCTCTAAATACCCAGGGAAACACGCTCAGCAATGCGGGAGAGAAATCCATCTTACAAGGAAGGACACCAGGATTATTTTCCATAAGCTTTACTTCTACCTAAGAGCTAAAGTAAGTAATGCAACATTTGTTACCTTTACATTATTTATTTAGCTTATAACTCTGTTTTTCAAAACTAAAGGAGGGTAGGTGTATTATCTGCTGCTTTATTTGTAAGCCGAAAATTGACAAGGATTGCCTTATTGCAAGCTGCCATGTATATTTCAGGGGGTTTTTAGGTGAAGGGAAGTTCTTACTAGCAGAGGCTTTTAACTACAGCAAGGTGGTAGCAGTACTACGTTAAATACAAAAAAATCCCAATTCCTATATTGACCAATAGGGTATGTGTTGTAACAGATTCTGATGGAGTCATATAAAAAATTTCCCGTTTCTGTATTGAGTGACGCAAACCACTTAATACATATTCAACTATATGCAATCAGTCTACACACACGAATTATTTCAAATGGTTAGATGGTTGCACAAACTCTTTTAGAGTAGAAGGAGACAAGAGAGCAACATCTACAGCTATTAGAACAAATCCTATCGTAAAAGCACATAAACTAGGACCTGTATAAACAGTGCTGTTCCGTTACAGCCGTGCTGCTCTTTACAGGCTCAGATAAAGCTTTTTCAGCACATCCACACACCACTGACCAGGCCACCGTGCCAACGAACAAGGGGCATACTTGGCAGTCTAAGAAATACTTATTCAACTTTGTGCCTTGATGACTATCTTGAGGATCAAAACAAGCAGAAACAAACGTGAACAAAAAGAAAGGGGAGACATTCTCAGAGAACAAGACAAATAATGTAATGTTCAGCTAGTCTTTTGGAGGTTTTTCTCATTACTTGGAGAAAGGCTTTACACAACTTTCTAGTCAACTTTATGAATGTACACTCAAAAGGTAATGACTACAATGCCTATGCCTGCAGAAACTACTTGTTATCAAACATGCGCTTGAAAAATGTCACTGTTATGTCGGTCTATGCATTCAGGCAAAATTTACTCTTTAGAAGTCTGCAGTATGTAAAACTAAAAGTTCATGACTGTTCATTTTACCAAATATCACTACACCCTTATGGCAGTTTTTCTGAGTTGTTACAGATGTTATCAGAATGAAAATCAATCTTTCCCCCTGTATGTTCATATTCTGCTGGTTTATTCAGCAAAGCTTAAGTGATATCCTTAGGGCTGAGATGAACTCCAGTATTTCTGTCTAGGGACACCCCAGCCAATGACAGCAACACATGTCTCAGTGCTAGCATAGAACAGAAAAAGATTCTTCTCCAATAAATAACAGGAATCTCTTCTATTAATGATTTACCCTAGCAGCCTAATCAAAATCCATGCTTGGAAAACCCCTCAGACTTGTATTAAACATCTCGAATTACAGTTCAGCAACCACATTTTCTTGTCATGACTTTTAAAAAGTAATGCAAATATATAAACTCGGTAGTACTATGGAACAAACTGATGCCACTTACATCATTACCTCATGGAAATCAGTTTATCCAAAAAAGAAATGGAGTGGAAAAAAATTATGAAGACAGATGGATTGGTTTAATGACTTAAATGTTCTCCCTCTCTTTTCTGTGATCTTGATGGCTTCTCTATTATGAACTAAGAGGTAATAACAAATCAAATCGGAAAACAAGAAAGAATGTAAATCACACCCCTCCCCCCTGAAAAAACCCAGAAAGGTCCTTCTGAAAGTTTCCCTTCCAGTCACTTCCCAAAAAAAATTACAAAAAAATCACCGTTGAAAACCAAAAAACACTACATAAAAAAAAATCTGTTTTCTCACCTTACTATTAAGAAACAGGCTTCTAATTCAACAGTGCTGTATTGTGCATGGAAGCCTGCATGGAGACTCTTATCAAGCAGGACATTAAAAAACAAGTTATAAATGAAGGATTACAGGCAACCACTGACTATGTAGTAGCACAGCACTAAAAGTAAACTTCTAGGTCCACAAACAAGCCAACAGCAACATGATACTAATGTAAACATTAATATATTCTGAATGTGCAAGAATACTTCTAAATGATCTTTTAAAATAAATTTTTAATATGTATACAAAGAAAAACGTGAGGGTCATACTTATGTCATTTTAGAAAAAGTATAACTCTTTTATTACTTCATTTTCTACATTTCATGTTTAATTGCTACTCCAATACATTCTCCATCAAGTTATATGAAATCTGTTCCTACAGCAGTTTACAGGTAGAAGTTTCAGGTTTTGAGCTTGAGTCTACTGGGCTAAACAAAAGCAAAGCATGAACA